TAACAATAAGTGTGGGAGAGCCATGCTTCGGCTCGTATGAGTCAGCTCGACCGGGGTGATGCCAGCATTGTGTTTCGCCGTGTGAGTAAGGGGACTGAAGGCCCAATTCTTATCATCCCCAAATCCCTCCCCAGTCCCTAAATCCCTAACCTCTAAATTCCCAACCCTTAAACCCCAATTTTTAAACCCCCAATCCCCAAATCCCCAATCCCTAAAACCCCAATCCATAAATCCCTAATCCCTAAATCCCCAATCCCTAAATCCCCAATCCCTAAATATCTAAAACAATAATCCCCATAAGGTCGGCAAAGTACTCGTAATTCATCAGTTGTCGCGGGTGTCCATAGAGGGTGCTAATTGCTTAATCCGTCCGGTAATCCGTCGGTTTATACAAATGTCAAAGTTTCCATCTCAAAAAAAAATAATGTAGACATTTCTGCCTACACCATAAAAGAACACTTTATTCCAAAAAAAACAAACAAAAACCATTGTCACCCTATAATCTAATAAAACTAAGCATGACTAACATCAACCACATCACACGAAATACAACTTTAATCTCTCAAACATAGAGCTGGAAATCGCTTAAACTGATTACCGAATCGATAGTCCAGTTTACGATGCTCTTTTATTTCCAACTTTATGTTTTAAGATATAGAGTTCAATTTGTTTCGTTTTCAATAGAAGGACAATGTAGTTACGTATTTGTTTCGCAATTGCATTTATAGTGTATTTGTAGGCACTAGGAATTCTAAAATGGCTTTAGTACATCTATTTAGATAGTCACAGGTCTCTGATCAATATATCCAATGACATTATAAGTAAAATGGTATAGATAGTTTACATAAACAACATTCGATTTTAAGAAACGGCACACTTATGCACACGAGCCATTAATAAATCGTATGTTACACGTTAAAGTGGGATGGCATGATTCAATAATCGCGAGTGAAAAAGAGAGAAATATGAAAAAGTGTGGCTAGTTAGCCACATTTTAATGTATCACTTGCTGAGCGCTTGTAACCTATCTACACCTTTTTAATAATAATATCTTTGAATATATCAACCAAAAAAAACTAAAATTTACAATAACACCTCGTCAATAATTACCTATATACTTAGATTGTGTTATCCTTATTATATCATTTTTTTACAGTCAAAGTCAAAGTCAAAATCATTTTTTCAATTAGGCCACAGTGGGTACTTTTGAACGTCAAGCAAAAAAAAAGAAAGAAGAAAATATATTTCAAGAGGTTTAACTTTAAGCGTGTCAGTCTGTCGGTCAGTTCTCTAGTGAAGCTATTTGCTCGTTCCAGAGTGTAGATTCCTATGGAGAAGAACGAGCAAGAAACTCCATGGTTACTCTTTTTCGTTGTAACTGTAACTGATAACTCGGCAAACGAGCTGACGGATTACCTGATGGTAAGCAATGATTGTCGCGCATGGACACCCGGAACAGCGGAGGCGTCACGAGTGTGTTAACGACCTGTATTAGGGATTTGGAGTTTTTGGGATAGAGGAGGGATGGGGGGAGAGGAAGAATTGGACCTTCATTAACCTCACTCACACGGCGAAACACACCGCTGTGGTTGTTTCACAACGATTTCTGTGAGGCCGTGGTATCACGCCGGTCGAGCCGACCCATTCGTGCCCAAGCATGGCTCTTCCACGCCTAGTAAACTTATACCATCAGGTAATCCGTCTGCTCGTTTGCCTACTTACTAACTTGTACATAAAATAACTATAAAAAAATTCCTTCATATTACATAAAATGGATTCACCATAAGAATAGACATTATATTAGCATCACCAAGGTATTGTATGCATACATATATTTAGTTAATGAGCGGGCCAAAAACTTCCAAAAATATCCTACTATATACCTAATATCACTAGCTACTCTCGCGCGGTTTTACCCGCTGCAAGGATACATTTGATCGTAGCTTGATGTTTTATAGCCTATAGCACTCAGGAACATTGTAGCCTTCTATCAGTGGAAGAATTTTGGCAATCCCACCAGCGGTTCCAAAGATTAACCCCTACATACAAATCATTGGGCCTCCGGTAGAGCCTCAGTCACACGGCGAAACACAACACAATCGTTTTTTATGTCACTATAGGTTATTAGAGATTTAAGGATAGGGGATTTGAGGATTGGAGATTAGAGGGGGGAGGGGGGAAGTTTGGGCCACCGGTAGCCTCAGTTACATGGAGAAATACAATGTAAATGTTCTCTACACGCCGGTTTTCCGCGAGACCCTGGAGGAGACCCATTCGTGCCAAACTTTAAATAGGTACTTACATTATGTTTCTCAAACATATTTATATCGTGAACCCCCAGCTAATGTAGTGTAGAAACACTGGTCTATCGAAGACTATAATTATTAGCAATGCGATCTACTTCTTGATTCAAGCTCTCGCATTAACAATTAACCGCTTAAGACTAATTTGAATATCTAGGAATATTTTAATAAAATCATATATTTTATGATCATGAATAAAATGATATAGTACCTAGTACCTACCTATATAGGTCTGTTTGTTCTTAACAACTGGTTTTTAATTTGTTGTTTTTCCTTGAATTAGTACATAGACTGCGTACATGTGTATTTAATTAAGGACGATAAACTCTTGCCTTCGTCCTATAGTTTGCAGAAATTATAGAGCGCCATCTAGTGCGTTCTTTACTATACTTCTTTAGCGCCTATTGCATTGATGGTATTTTTTTAATGTAATAGGTCGGCAAACGAGTCTTCGGATTACCCGATGGCAAGCAATCAGGCCGCGTTGCCGAACTTTTAGGGATTTGGAGATTCTGGGATTGGGGGAGGGGAAGGATTCGGATTAATTTCGTCTTACATGGACTCTGAACAAAGTCAAAGTAAAAATTTAAAAGTGGACGTTAAAAGTGAAAGTTTTATTTTAGATAGGTCCTTATAAGCAGCTTTTGAACAGCCTGTCGATCAGTCCTCTGGTGAAGCTCTAATATTTTTCAATGAATAAGTATGATACTTGACTCAAATAAAACATATTCCATGGAAAACTGACGATTTTGGCAATCCAACTGTGACTGGTAAGTATTTAGAATTAAGTTGCTTTTTAGTTAGTTAGTTTTCACCAGTTTTTAAGTTAAAGTAGACAATTTTAAATAGATGTATTACATAAAAAAAAACTTAATACTTCATGTAGGTAATAATAAAGTTGTCTTTTGTTTTAAGAGACCAACTTTACTGCAAACAAGTTCGTAATACTATAAGCCAGTTATACTCAAAGTTTTCTCCGCAGAACCCTAGTGCTTGCGGGTACTAGCTATAATAATGTACTGCGGCTTGGAGCAGAAAGCAAGGGGTGATTTTTAGTCAACAAGAGTCAATTAGCCTATATGTAGGAGACGTAATCACATCATTTTTACTATTCCTTAGTAGGGAAAAATGCTCTCCGCGATTATATTTTCTCTTTGTTTCATCAGAATTAATATCAAATGACTAATGAATGTGGACTCGGCTATCGTCGTGCCGATAGTTGTGTCGGCAAATGGGTTAGTCCCCATTAGCCTCGACAACCACCTTAAGAGGCTGACGTTAGGCGGATGGATCAATTCATACAGAAGGCAGTCTTCCTTGAAACGGCACGTATTGTGTGGAGGTTCCTGTCTCTAGAGCCCTAACCACCGGCAGCTTGGACCTTGCTCCCGCTGCTGGCTGGTTCCTACTTTTATATTTTTTAATATTATTTTATTTTATAGTAATATTTAAAAATGTAATTTTGGGGTTTATTTTAATAAATATGTGAAAGTTAATTATACCTATATTTTGGAACAAGTATCTTCACTAAAGAACAGACCGACAGACTGACACACACGAAATTAAACTGTTTGATATTTATTTTACTTACTCATATTTGACGTTTAAAAGTGTCTAAGTAAAGTGGTTTAATTGAAATGAATGATTTGACTCTAGACTTTTAATAAATACACGTTACTTATGCCTTTTACATAGGGGTTCTGCGACAAAAAAGTTTGAGAACCCCTGCTTTAACCGCACATTTGAAACTAACCTCGTTTGTTCAAAATAGTCGTTTATTGTTACTTTCATAAATTGTTATACATAATGTACAACGTTATAATGTTATATAACACTTGAATTTTGCAGGTTTTATTAGAGGAAAGTTTGGTAAGTAGGTATGTTAAAAATCTAAGTAGATTAACCAGCGATATAAAACATACATTTTATATAGTAACTAATAGTAGGTCAATAGTGAGAGATGTATGTGAGGAAAATTACGACTTAAGTACTATACATATAGCTCAGCCGGGGCTGCGGGGTAAGCGCAATGCGGCACCGCGACCTCGGAACAGAGCAAGAGAAGGAACAGGGGGATTTTTAGTCAGTAAGAGTCTGACACTCTCTCTCGCCTTACACTGGGCGGGAGAAGTCATTGGATGATTTTCCCCTGATAAAAAAATACTATGTAACTAATAAAGGTTTTTATACTTTCTTTTCACGTTAGTAAGTCGTTTTTCAATAAATAAAATACAATAATAACTGCATTATACATAAATGTAGTATAATCTATACTAATATTATAATGAGGTAAAATTTGTAAGTTTGTATGTAGGGGGTAATCTTTGGAACCGCTGGTCGGATTGCTAAAATTCTTTCACTGGTAGATAGCTACAATGTTCCTGAGTGCTATAGGATATAAAACATCACGCTACGATCAAATGGAGCCGAGCAGCGGGTGAAACCGCGCGAGGGTAGCTAGTTCTTATATAATTTATAAACGGTAGACCATATCAAATTTTTATTTTTATTTCTTTGGTTTAATACTTTACTATGATAAATACTGTTGTCCTACTTATGTTAATTTGATTAGTTCTACTTCGACCTCGGCCCAGAGCAGGAGACACTCCCTCTACCCGGCCCTGGGCGCGAGAAGTCATTTGATGATTTTCCCCTCACAAAAAGAAACTCCTCCAAGAAGATCGGAAGACCACTTACCTCAATAATTTTTCGACGATAAGCTTCCCAAGGAATCCGGTACCTCCAGTCAGGAGTACGGAGGACCCAGCGAAGAGTTTCTGTATCTGAGAGTCTCCGAGTGGTTGAGATTCTTCAACCATATCCTTGTATGTAATATCTCCACCCTGCTTCGCTTCGAAGAGCTGATGTTCAGTAAGCGTTTCCACCGCCATTGCTGGAAAAAAAGAGATTTTTTTTGTAAATAGGCCATAAAACACTTGTACTAATTACATAGTATAAAACAAAGTCGCTTTGTCTGTCCCTATATCCCTATGTACGCTTAATTAAATCTTTAAAACTACGCAACGGATTTTGTTGCGGTTTTTTATTAGATAGAGTGATTGAGGAGGAAGGTTTATTTATATGTATAATTACATCCATTAAATAGTAGAGAATTGCATATCTATACTAATATAATAAAGAGGTAAAATTTTGTAAGTTTGTATGTAGGAGGTAATCTTTGGAATCGCTGGTTGGATTGCCAAAATTCTTTCACTGATAGATAGCTACAATGTTCCTGAGTGCCATAGGCTATGAAACATCACGTTACGATCGAATGAAGCCGAGAAGCGGGTGAAACCGCGAAAGAGTAGCTATTAAAAAAACTCACTATAATACCAAATTTTTATGTTTACAATTCGCACAAAACTGACCTACACAACAATTTTTAAATTGAAATAAGAAAATATATGCTGTTGTTCTCAAAACTGGTTCGTATAAATTTAGTTTTTTGAATCAAATATTAATGATGGCTAATTTTAGACAAGCCATTATTATATTACGAATGTCTGTGAAGTGTAATCTTGCAATTAAATTATGAAGCTATCTTCTTCAACGGATTGTGCTGTAATTTGGTTTTCTGTGTGACCGTGGTATCACTCCGGTCGAATCGATCCATTCGTGCCGAAGCATGGCTCTCCCACACATATCTGAGAAGGTTTCCACCACAAGAGTTTGCATCTCCACGCTTGGCAAGCCCCGGGGTTGCGGGGTAAGCGCAATGAGGCACCGCAACCTCGGCACAGAGCAGGAGAAGGAACAGGGAAGTTTTAGTCAGTAAGAGTCTGACACTCCCTCCCGCCCGGCCCTGGACGGGAAAAGTCATTTGATGATTTTCCCCTCACAAAAAAAAAACGCTTGGCAAGCAGGTTGGAGATTGCTCTTAATTTGCATGTTTATCAAAAGCGATACTGTCCATTCCCTGTTCAGTATGCATATGGTACCTATATGGTATGTGACACCCGCTGCAAGAATGACGGTGGTAAAATAATTTTTCCACTTTACTGATGCCTGCATAGTATACGGTATGTGACACCCGCTGCAAGAATGACGTTGGTTATACCTAAGTACATGTTTTCCACTTTACTGAGAATCTAAGGGTGACACAAATGTTAATGAGATCATTAAACTAATTATTAATATTATACATATAAATACATATAAGTATGGCAAATATTGATTTTAAAATCTTAGCTGAAAATAATTATGTACCTAGGTATATTGGTGCTTCAAACACCTGCATACAGTTATTTAAATAAAGCCTAATTTTTATCTAGACTACCTGAAATAATAAGGAAACATTTACCACTAATTGTGTATTTAAACACTAGAACTGGCCAATTAAGTGTGGGAGAGCCATGCTTCGGCACGAATGGGTCGGCTGAACCGGAGTGATACCACGGCCTCACAGAAAACCGGCGTGAAACAACCACAGCGTTGTGTTTCGCCGTGTGAGTGAGGTTACCGGAGGCCCAATCCTTCCCCTTCCCCAAACCCTACCCCAATCCCTAAATCTACAATTCTCTAATCAATAAAAGGTCGGCAACGCACTCGTAACTCCTTCGTTACAGGTGTCCATGGGCGGCGCTGATTGCTTACCATCAGGTAATCCGTCTGCTCGTTTGCCGACCTATTACATTTATAAAATTTAAAAAACCTCTCGACAAAATATCTAATATTCCTTTAAAAAGTAATAATTAAAAAACAACATGGCGTTGGGGGACCGATCCAAATATTTTATTATCAACTACATATTTCTATTTTGTCGAGGGTCTAATTAATTTTCTTATTTCTATCTATTAAGTCATTAACGTTCCCTTTCAGTGCGCTTTCATTTGAGACCCGACTCGAGTATATTTGCAGACCTTCGGTTACCCTTCCCACTAATCCCCCCATAACTTCTAAACGGCTCAACCGATTTTCGTCAAACATGTCTAAGAACACTCGCACGTAAGTCACCTTTAATACAAAAAAAACTAAATTGAAATCGCTTCATCCGTTCAGGCTCCAGGATGCCACAGACAAACAGACACGTCAAAGTTAACAACCATATTTTCCCGTCGGGGGTTAAAAAAAAATAATCCTTAATATCGACTGATTAAGAGCATTCTTACAATCCAGTTGGGAAATCTTGCTTGCCTTCACGCTTTTTGAATAGGGTGTCGACGGTAATGTGTGGATTACTTCATGATATTTCGTAAATCATAGCATGATGATCACGGTTCTCACTTAGCATTTTAATTAGGGACGACCCGATTGCCTAACTCCGGACACAGTTCTGTGATTTTAATACAAATTTTGAAAAAGAAAACCACGAGCTTTTGAGGCTCTACGAGGCTTCAATAAAATACTTCCTACTTCAATTATGAACGCGAAAGTGTGTAAGTACGGATGGATGTTTGTTACTCTCTCACGTAAACACTACTGAACGGATCTGAATGTAATTTGGCACACAGATAGATTATAGTTTGGAATAACACTTTTTACCCACAAATTGGTGATTAATAACAAAAAACTGTAGTTAGAAGTGTGCGTAGGACTTTCTTGCTCGTTCTTCTCCATAGGAATCTACAATTTGGAACGAGCAAATAGCTTCACTGAGAGAATTGATTATTTTGAATATTTTTTTGTCGTTTAAAAATGTTAATATCGGGGTAGCTACAACCACTGATTCCCCCCAATCCTTTCCACCGTAGTACTAACAGACAATCGGCAAAACGTCATCGCTTCATGGTGGATATCCCACCCACACACACGAAGCGGTTCGCCTCCAGTTTTATCATCAAAACCGCTAAGGAGTGGAATTCTTTGCCGGAGTCTGTGTTCCCCGAAGGGTATAACCTGGGTGCCTTCAAGGCCCGAGTGAATAGGTTGCTTATGGGTAGACGTGCTCCATCGTAGGTCCCATCATCACTTACCACCAGGTGTGGTAGAGAAAAAAATGCCTATCACACCATCTATACTAAAATTCATCATCAGCCTATAAGTGCCCACTGCCGAGCAAAGGTCTCTTCTCACACGGAGAAGGTTTGAAAATTAACCACCACGCTTGCTCAATGCGGATTGGCGATTTCAAACTTATAATTAGAAATTATAAGTCCAGGTTTCACTTTGACTTTGAATTTATAACACATTTTTTCACTTAAACTACATCATCATCATCGGCCTATAAATGCCCACTGCTGAGCAAAGTCCTCTTCTCATATGGAGAAGGTTAGAGCATTAATCACCACGCTTGCTCAATGCGGATTGGCGATTTCAAACTTATAATTAGAAATTATAAGTCTAGGTTTCCTCGCGATGTTTACCTTCACCGTATGTCAGTGGTGTCTAAATAATCATAGAAAGTACATATAACTCGGAAAAAGTCACATTGGTACTTGCCAGGTTTCGAACCCACACCCTCATGCATGAGAAGTGGGCGCCTTAACCTCCGGGCCACCACGACATGTGTAAAACTACATAGTCTACTTAAACTACATAGTCGAAAGTTATTAAAATGAATAGCAATGCAAATTAGTTTCTGTAATGTTCTTAATTAACTAGACTTTCTCTTTAAAATTATCAGTTACTCAAATCTAGACCGAGTTGTAATTATAAATAATTGTAACTTAAGTAAGTCAAGTTAACAAATGTTTTAGAAAGGATTTTGATTACTGATTGTTTTACTTTTTATTTTACATTAATTTTTATTTATGTTTTGTGTCTTGATATTCTCGTCTTGTGATTTGTTTTGTCTATGGCATGTTTTAATATTCATTGTTTTTTTATTTAGTTTTTTAACATTTATTAATTCTGTGCGTAACTGATTTTATATATGTATACTTATTTTATTTAGTGATGCTGAAAAGGCGTCAGGATTTTATATTCCCGAGGCAAGGACGCGTGGAGGGTCAGCGCTGAAAACCAGCGCTGCTGTTTCGTGCCTGCGTGCGCGAGACACAGCATTTATACTGAGCGCTGCCCTTTTCACGCATGAGTGACGCAATTGCAGTGCTTTTCTTTTTTTTATGTTCATTGTTTGTTTTGTCCCTATATAGATATATTCATGTGTTTGTTTCTTGTGTCATTTGTGTGTTAAATAAATGGTTTTTCTTTCTTTCTTTCTTTTAGTGGGCTGAAGGATAAGGCGCCCGCTTCTCATGTGTAAGGAGGTGATCACATGAAACCGGCGTGAAAAGTCAAAAGTCAAAAATCATTTATTCCAATTAGACCCTTACACGCACTTTTGAAAGTCAAAGAAAATTTTGGAGATACAGTGTCAGTCTGTCGGTCAGTGAAGCTATTTGCTCGTTCCAAAGTGTAGATTCCGATGGAGAAGAAACTCCATGGTTACTCTTTTAAAATCAGTTTCACATACAGATTCCTTTTACAAACAGTTGGTTCAATTATGTGAGAACAGTGTAACACTAATATTTTTTCGTAGAAATATAAAAAGAAAATAACCTTAAGGACAATAGACAGTCCGGAGCTGAAACAACTACAGCGTAATGTTTCTCATTTTTATGGGGCAAATGAACACAAGTATTACCTGATGGTAAGCAATCAGCGCCGCCCATGTACACGTTGAAGGTTACCCCCTCCCAACCCCTAAATCTCCGAAACCCTAATCCTAAAAAGGCCGGCAACGCACTCGTAACTTTAATGCTGCGGTGTATATGGGTGGTCCCGATTGCTTACCATCAGGTAATCCGATTTTTAGTCGACTTCAAAGAAGGAGGAGGTTCGCAATTCGACGCGTATTTTTTTTTGTTATGTATTATGTACACCGATTACTCGAAGACGCCAGGATCGATTTGAAAAATTATTTTTTTATTCGATAGGGTATACTTGCCATTTGGTCCCATTGTCATGATGTCAGGATCTGATGATGGAATCCTGGAGATATCGAGGGGAA